TGGAAGTATATAGAGGATGTTCTGAAGAAATTCAAGATGACTGACTGCAAGCCTGTGTTGACTCCTATGTCTACTGGTTCTAAGTTATTGGCTGACCAGTGTCCCAAGACTGAAGAAGAAAAAGAGGAGATGGCATCAGTTCCTTATGCTAGTGCATTTGGGAGTCCGATGTATGTCATAATTTGTACTCGACCTGATATTGCTCAAGCAGTGGGAGTGTTGAGCAGGTATATGTTCAAGCCAGGAAAGAAGCATTGGACGGCTGTGAAGCGTGTGTTCCGCTATTTTCCTGGCACGTCTGACCTTGGGTTATGCTATGAAGGCGTGAATGGCTAAAGGGGACAGACATTATTAGAACTGAGATGCTTTGTGGATGCTGATTGGGGAGGTGACATTGATAGTAGAAGGTCTACAAGTGGATATGTTGTTTCATCATTCGGCGGAGCATTCAGTTGGATGAGTAAGAGGCAGACAACTGTTGCTTTATCTACTACAGAGGCTGAGTACATGGCCTTGACACATGCTGTTAAGGAAGCTATTTGGTTACGGAGGCTGTGCAAAGAGCTTGGCATTGCACAAGGAGAGATGATCGTTGGGTGTGACAGTCAGAGCGCCATTTTCTTGGCTATGAACCCAGGTTTCCATGCGAGGACCAAGCATATCGAAATACAATATCACTTCATCAGAGAGAAGATTGAAGACAAGGTTGTATTGCTGGAGAAGGTTGACACAAAGGTCAACAATGCTGATTTTCTGACCAAGGCAGTGACTTCAGAGAAGTTTGAATGGTGTACAGCTGCATTGAGATCGAAGAAACATGCGAAGCATTCACCAAGTGGGAGAATGTTGGATATGACTCATACTTCGCATGCTGATGAGGGCCCTAGTTATCGAGGTCAGCAGAAAGGCAACTGGGGTCCCGCTCCCAGGTGAACGAGCGAGGGTCCAGGGGGCAGGGCCCCGCGCTCGTAGAGGCTAGGTACTGTTGTGGGCCTCTGATCTATTGTAATTTTTTCTTTTCTTAGTAGTTTGGGATTGGGCCCATGAATAACTGCTGCTAGGGTTCTTCTAATCCTATTTATATTTTCTTTGTAAATTGAGTGACTTGTAACAAGTGGCGATGAGGTGAATGTAGTATAGACAAACTGGACGTAGCCTAACTTGGGTGAACCAGGGTAAATCTCTGTGTCTATTCTCTCTCTTTCTTTCTCTCTCTCTCTCTTTTCTCTCTTTTTTTTTTTTGTCGTTTGCGATTTGTGTGATTGTCGATTTCCAACCAACTATATATGTATGATATAATTGTAGCACCACAAAAAGACACGTTCTCTTGTTGGAAATTTGACCGCTAAGGTAATTTGGAAAAATTTAAACATTCTTCTCCCCTTTTTTTTTTTTTTTTTTTTTTTTCTAAGAGATTTCTTCAACGGTTCATCATCTGATTCAATTAATCAGGTGGAGCCATGCGTTGCAAGTAGATAAAGTTTTTCCTACCAAATTTATAACACAATTGTATACCCATAACTCGAATTCTAAATCATCAATTACGTTAAAACAATTCCTTTCACCTAATTTAATGATTTTTTCCTCCTATTTTTTATCCAATCATCAGTTCATTTTGTGTCTCTTTTTCCTAATACAAGTTCTTATTCACACACATCAATTATACTCTAACGGTCAAAAATAATTTATTTATAAGTTTTAAACATAGGGAAGGATTACGTTTATAATTTTTTTTTATTTACAATTCTTACAACTTTAATTATGTATACTGAGAAATACAAATACTTGAGAATGTACTCCTCAAAATATATAATTAAAATTATAAGAGTTATAAAAATTTTTATAAAAGTAACCTGTCCTTAAACATATATACCGTTAGATAATCATAATTGTAGTTTCGTGCACTAATTTTCCAACTCAAGGATCGTGGTCCGTGATGTAGAGAGGCAAGGACCTACCTACCGCTTCTATTCTATTCTTTAGTTCGAAAGGGGCGCTATCTATCTATTTTCTCACCCTTACTTTTCTAGATTCATGGATTTTCCATGTACAATTAGAATGGTCTTGTGTGGTCCTACATTGGTGGCTTCATCATTATCTACGAGCTGTCAAATTCTCAGCCTAATCCCTTCCTTGTCTTCTGCTTTTGATTTAAAAAATAACGTTATTTCGAGGGCTAACTAGCCAATAAAATAACAAATCATTATATATATATATATATATATATATATATATATATATATATATATATATATATATAGGGGTAGGATCTTTTGACACCGGTGTCAAATTTTAAATTTGACACCTCATATAAGAGCCGTTAGATAAAAAAAGATCAACGACTCTGATTTATAAACATGTTACACCATTAATCTTTTTAAATCTAACGGCTCTTACATAAGGTGTCGAAAATTTGACACCGGTGTCAAATGATCCCATCTCATATATATATAAAAGAATAAAGTATTTTACATTAAATCTTAATCATTGATTTATTTATATTTAATGATTTAAATATTTAATAAATTAAAATCATTAAATATAAATAAAATCAACAATCAAAAATAAAAATATAATTTACATCGATTATAAAATAATACCGACTCTCAATATATATATTTATATGACTGCGTCCTTTAACAACCTATACCAAACAACTATGACTTTACAGCAAATAAAGGCATGCATATATGTGAATATATTATAAACGTGAGATTCACAAGTTCGCAAGTGATATAGTTTATATTTTATAATACCTCTAGAGAAGAGAAATGTTGTGTCGTCATTCCAAACTAACCCTCAAATCATGATGTAAAGTATCTGAGTATTAGGTGGCAATAACTACTTACAAATATTTTCAAAATGTTTGACAAGGTGTTATAGGTTGAAGCTTGGGTGGTTTAGGTATTCAATTAGCTCACTTATGCTGTGCAACCTTTTGTGTGGATTGGTTTGACCTGCTTTTATTATGTAGAAGCACATGTTCGGTAGCTATTTTTGTCATCCAAATGAAATAATAAGATAAATGGAATCTTTTTATTTATTAAAATTGAATATAAAAAATTCCTTGACAATTCCATTACCTTTATTGGTAAGCATCACATTCATTAAAGAGGAAATTTGAAAATAAACCTCTTCTTTACCCCAAATCCCAATCCCAATCCCATGCTATAAAATAATATATTCAATTATTTAATGAATAGGTGAAAAAGCAAATGAAATTGATGAATTTACATTCCCCACGTTGATTCATTTTGGTGAATATGTTAAATGTGTTATTTGCAGCCGAGTAAAACCATCGTTGAACCTTTATGTGTAAGAATAAGATTGTGCATATCCATCAAGGAACCTTCCCACATGCGATATTATAATAATACTAGCACCCTTTGGCTGACCCTTTTGGGCCACATTGACTTGAATGGTTTTTGGTCACGTATACGCATATGTAACAAAAGCTTGCCCAATTTATTCAACGGTGATGCTTGGAAAGCAAGAAAAATGGGGGAGAATTGTGAAATGAATAAGAATAAAAAATATGTTTTTTTTTTAATACAAGAATAAAGAATATGTTGACAATGATCTCGTTTTTCTACTTGACATTCCCTTCTCTAGAAACAATTAATCACTCAACATTATGAAATCCATAATTGGAACCCCCTTTAAGTCTAATACTGTGCTTCATTAGTGGTGCTATTTATCACATAATATTTAAAGATTTTGTACGAATTGTATTACGAATTCATAGTTATTCTTTTGATAAATTATATAAAGGGTAAGTCAAACAAAAAGACGATGACCACAATTTAAAAGTTGATAAAGATCGATGATGACTAAAATTTAAAAGATGATAGTGATAATTTTCACTTATGTTCCTAAACAAGCACTAAAGTTCGAATCGACTTCAATTTGCGTGGCCTTACTAATGTGAGATACTTGCCTACAATAAAAAATATCTCTCTCAACACTTGTCTTATGTCTCTAGTAGTTTGTGTCTTTATGAAGATTAAACCTGTAGTTTGATTCCACAAAAATCCCCTTAAGTAATATGTACTTTTTCGTGTTATCACAACAAATCCTTTTGTTTATGTATTTATGAATTCAATTAAAATTAGAGGAAACTTATATTTACAAACTTTTTGTTTACAAATTCTTACAAACTACATTAAGTATGACCGGTTATACTTCAATCAAGCGTGTATGACTGATCATACTTAGTGTAATTTATAAAAAAAATTTGTAAACAGATCCTTCATCTTAAAATTATCATATTGAATATGAGCACAAACATTTCAAAATAGTCACCAGATTGGTGTTAAACACGTATCAATTTAGACATTGCATGTTCCAATTTGTATTATTCAATTTTTTACCTTTACTTTTTAGAGTTTTTATACACGCAAATAGAATAATAACATAATAATTAGATAAATAATACTATTTTATTATATATGCAATAAATAAACTCTTAAACTACTAATACTCTATTTTTATATTTTCATACTAAAATTATACTAATTTAATAAAGAGAAAAGTGTGAGTCATTTTAAAAGATATAAAGTTGTGTCATTTTAAGTGAGAAAAAGAGATAGATAAAGGAAGAAAGAGAGAGTGGACAAAAAAAAAAACAAAGGTATGGGTTCCACTCTTTGTGAGAGTGAAATGATATAAGTTGTGTCATTTAAAATGACAAACACTTTTCCCTTTAATAAATCATACCAAAGTCATGTGTCATACAATTTTGAACAATTGTGATATCCATTATTATTCATGTCATATTATATTCCTACCGCGTTTGATTTTATTGAATGTTTCATTCAACTAATGCTAGTTGCAAATTTGTGAAATGTGTACATTATCTTCCTAGTCAGAATTCATGGGAAAAGAATCTCATTGGCATTAGGTAGAGGCAGGCTTTAGAGGAGGCGCGAAAATGTCAATAACTACTCACTATTTTATCCATGTAGATATAGAGAAGTTGGTGACATGGTAAATAATGGAGTTGGTATTCTATATATAATCCTCCTTCCATCACCTTTTGTTGTCATTGGCTTAAGTTCTTCTACTTGCAACCTTTCTTGTAAACTTTTTTGATTTTGAGAGCAGAGAAAAGTTATAGACATGGCTATAGGAATGGTACTGGCTGCTTCTTTCTTGGTTATGCTTCTGGCTTCTCCCACTGTATTTGCAACTGATTTTACTGTTGGTGATACCGGTGGATGGAAATTAGGGACTGATTACAGCACCTGGCCCTCTGGGAAAACTTTCAAAGTTGGTGATAATTTGGGTAAGTCTCCTCTGCTTAACTCTCTAAATGCTTGCCTTTGTTTCTAGTGAAAACATTTAGCACAAGAACTCAAGATGCAAATTAAATTTGAAAGTATTAAATGAGAATGCTTAGTCATGGTAAGGTTGTTGGGTCTGATATAGTTCTATCTGATTTTATTTTTATGCTCAGTTTTATAAAAAAATCATTGCTCATTAAAATCCGAATAGCAAGGATAAAGACGAAGATAATCCTTATATACCAATTTTTTTTTTATATTTATAAAAAGACTGTTTTTCGAATTTTATTTATGTTGAGTTTTATAATGAAAAAAAAAATTAATTGAATTTATGTACTGTTGGAATTTTTTGCCAATTGAATATGTCCAAATGACTCTCCAATTAGTGATCTCACTGTTTTTTCTTTTGGTTGCATTTTGAGTTTATACTATGCCTACTCTTCTTACTCATTTTCAATATTATTGGATCAGAATCTCGAAAAAAATAAAATAATAATAATAAAAATTAGTTGAGATTATAATCTAAAGATATTAGAGATGAGTAAGATATACATAAAAAAAAAATAGGTAAAATATCTCATCTCATTGAAATATATGATATTTAATCATGATGTTCTCAAATAAATTGTAGACTTTTTAACATTATTTGGGGTCCTCCCATTTTAACCCTTGATTAAGGGAAGCTGACCAAGTTGTTTTGTGTTGAAAAACAGTGTTCAATTATGACTCCACCCATGGAGTGGATATAGTTAATTCTAATGACTACACAGCATGCAGTTCAAGCAATGCCATAAAAAGCTATCAAGGTGGAAGCACCAAAATTGCTTTGACTACTCCAGGAAACATGTACTTCTTATGTCCCACGCCAGGTCATTGTGCTGGAGGCATGAAGTTGTCAATTAAGGTAGTTGCTGCTAGTGGCACCTCACCAACCTCTCCAAGTGGCACCCCACCAACATCACCAAGTGGCACCCCACCTACCACCCCATCAAATCCTTCACCTTCATCTGGGTCAGGCACCCCTGCAACCAATACTACAGCACCATCACCTAGTGGAGCAGTCACTGTTTCCAGTGGCATCAGCTATTTGATGGGATCTTTCTTTGTATCAGCAATCATTTTTGGTTTCATGGGCTAGGGAAGGGGCAGTGCTATAGAACCTTAATTATTATGTTTTTGGTTTGTTGAATTTGTGCGAATTTCATTTAATATGAGATGTATATCTGATCTTGATATGTATCACCTTTTAATAATTTTTCTCTACTTCTTCTTTTGATACTTGCAATATTGAGGATATTGGATGCATATAATCTCATGCTTTCAATTTTGTTCTTCGGTTGGCAATAATTGAACTTAAAACAACAACCCTCCTAAATTGGAGTTCATTCCACGCTTCAAAGTTGAACATCAACGCATGTAAACATCTATTTGCTTAGAGTATAATTTGTTCGTACCAAAAAGAAAAAAAAAAAAAAGAAAAAAAAAAGAGAAGAGAGAACGGAAACACAGATTTATCATGATAGGTTATATCTAACAATATTTTATTATGGGATAAATTATTCTACATATCATTTTTTCTGTCTATATCATTAGATCAAAATCTTAATTAACATTTATCTTTATTTCTCTTCTTTAGATTCTGATCTAACGGTATTAGAAAGTAATAGGCAAAAGTAAGCAGAAAAAATGATATGTAAAATAATATATTCCTTTTATTTATATTCTTCTTATTACATTTATTAGAAAGCACTTTATTTAGAAGGAGAATATAAATAGACTTAAAAATCTAATAAGAATTGTCATTTAAATGGGGAAAATATTTTCAATGTTACGAAATATCAAAGCACTATGTGCATCTTTTATTAAACATGATATAAGGTTCTTTCCTCTTATGTCATATTATTCTTTTTTGGGATAAGGGTACCTATTCTCTTAACACAAAAAATATGCTCTCAAACTGAACTATAAATCATATCTAACATAATTATTTTCAGGAAATGCATTTAAATTTTGATTTAACTTGCATAAACTTTTTTTTTTTTGGGACAATAGAAAACTAAAATAGGACAAAACAAAAAACTTAACACATAGCCTAGCCCAACGGGCACCAATAATGTCACTGTACAGCTCTTCCCTCCAACCACAAGAAATATATATATATATATATCGCTTAAAAGTTTTAATAATCACCAATGCTGTGTTATTTGCTTACAATACAACTGGCATCAAATCATTAACCCATATCTCCCCATGTGATTATCGGAAAGTTTACCCCAACCACGCCTCCGTGTTCAATTATTGATCATTATACTTTGACAAAATTATTTATTTATTTTTTCGGATACAGACTAATTATTTATTCGACAATAGTTTAATACAAAAATAACATCAAAGAATGATAGAGAAAATTAAATATTGTTATTAATCAAGTCATCATGTGTTGGGGTTGGTGGTGGTTGGGGTTATTATGTGTATTTTTTAAATTTTTTGTGAAAGGTAGAAACCTTAAGTGTAACTGATTGAGATGTAAAGTATCATCATTGAAATCTTTTGGAAAAGGGGTACAATAATTAAAATTGACAAAATGGACCAATCTGACACGATCTGATCCAATCCATATGCAACCCGAAAAAATAAATCGAGATAGGGTTGACTCGAAAAAAAAATGATTCAGAAAACCCAACTTGACTCGAGTCGGGTTAAGGTTGGCTCAAAAATATGACTCGTGGGTTGACTTGAAAAAATAGATCACTAGTTGGCTCAAAAATTGGCTTGCGGGTTGACTCATTTTTTACTTTTTTAAATGAACCTGTAGTATTAATGTATCAGCTATGTGGCTGTGGCTTCCATCAGCTTAAACAAAGAGGGTTATAAAATGAGAAATAAAACAAAATATTATAGTTTCGAATTTTTCACAACAAATTTGCATCAACATCAAGAAACAATCAGAACCATTTGCTACCAAGTGAGTAAGATATTTGAACCAAACAAAGTTAGCACGGCCTAACAATATAAAAATGGCAGGGATGTGAAAAGATTAAGGACTTAGGTTCAGAGAATGAAGAAAGATGATGACAGCATATGTGATTTTTGTATAATTAATTTTGTAGCTTTTTTTATAAAAAAAAAAACTCAACCAGCGAACGGGCTCGTTTGACCCGCGGGTTGTCTCATTTTTTCCTGAGCTGGCTCGAGTCGGGTTGGCAACTCATCAACCTGAGTCATTTTTTACGGGTTACGAGCCAACCCGACATGTTGGCTTGTTTTTGCGAATCCTAACAATGATGTTGCCTTACTTTCATGTCTTATTTTAACAGGATTATATTAATGTAAATATTTCTTTATCATTAATTGACATATAACAATGAAAATTTTAGTGGGAAAAATCGTAAAACGGGAAAGAGAAAATACTTATTTTATTTATTAAATTATTAATGAAAATTAAAATATATTCAAATAAGATGAACAAATTAAATAAAATGAAACGAGACATGATTGATTCCTAATAACTTCTAAATTTAAAATGGTTTGAGACAACTGGATGGATTATTAAGGGGGCGTTTGGTACATGAGAAATTTTTATTTGTTCGAAAATATTAATTTTTAAAAATATGATTTTTACATTCAGTTTACGATAATATCTGAAAATTTAAAATTTCAAAAATTTCAATTTCCCAGAATTACAGAAAAAAATCCTTGTACCAAACGGCCCAGGTAGTTAGTCTGGTCAAATTGTGAACTCATCAATCAAAAAATGGATGAATCTAACATGCAAACTTGATTTCACAAATAAAGTCAACGTAGTCCTCCACTCATACATCACTTCTTCCATATCCTAGTTTATTTAATGACAAGTACAACTCATCCATTTGTAGCTCCGGAAGGCTTCTTCCAGATTTAAGTGTCCTTATGATTTGAATGTGATTGTATCTTTGAAAAAAATAATTTAAGTTTTCAACAGTTCACATTTTTTTTAATCACACGGCGATTTATTTAATAATTAGTTTAAATTTTGATAGAGTTGATTTTGAAAGAATTAATATTTAAAGATTGATTTGAAAGAATTGACTTATATTTAAAAATGATATTTTGAAAGTTGATTCAAAAGAATTAATTTTGTTTAAATAATATAAAATAAAATCACTTTGAAATGTTAAATTATGAAAACAAGGTACAAAATATTAGCTTTATATAGTTAAAAATTATTATTGTGGCTTGAGGATATTAAGATAAAAGTAGATTCATTCTACCACAAAAGTTACTCCTAGTCACTGCAAGTAGAATTGATTTTGTGAATAATCAAGCAAAATTGATTCCTTGCCAAGCTGAACAAATATTCTTTCTCCAAAAAATAAAGGAAGAAGAATCCACATGCCTTTTGACAACTACCAAAATCGAAACATATCCTAATAAGGAATTGCACCTCGTAATAAAAAAATAAAAAATAAAAAATAAAGAAACTTTTCACGGTTTGTTTTAATATGATCATATTATATGTAAGATTTCAGTCATTTGTTATTATATATATATATATATATATATATATATATATATAATTTAATTAAACAACAAATTAAATATTAGTACTTTGATTATTAATTATTTATTTATCATAAAATAATTAAGATCTTCCACCCAATATAATCATATTAAAACAAGACATGAGAAAAAAAGAAAAAAATACAACTAAACCAACATGGGCTTGGAGGATCATAGATTCCACAGTTTCTCATTAGGTCCAATTGATAGCTTTTGGCTCAAAACATCTAACAGGCCATATTTTCTGACTGGGTTTTGCTCTAATACCAGTTTACAAAATAAGATCAAGTGTTATATATGTTATAGGAAATAATTTATCTTTTACACATATATAAAATTAGGGTTCATTTTTTGTCATGTGACATGACTAGAGCACTTTCCTGCACACACAAATCAAGTGTGGGTCCCACGCTTAAAAAAAAAAGTCAGACCAAAATCAGGATACGATGCTATATCCTTAAAATACCGAAGCGGATCTTTATTGCAGGAATGAACAGTGTCATTCCTGCAACATGATTCTTATATTTCCCATAAAATCATATGGGGTTCATATTTTCTTTTCCTCCCTCTTCTCTTACATGACCTTACTTACTTTTATATATATAAAAAATAATTTTATCTTTTACGATATCATAAACACTAATCCCTTACAAAATTTATGCCATTCAAGTGTACGAGGAGTTCAGACAATAACATCACTTGACACAGAGACCCATGATTTGTCCAGAATTTTGGTAGAGCTAACAATGTTCAAGGGACAAAGCCCCATTTTCGCACACTGCTTCCCATAATATAAGAGATTTTGGAATATGTGTCTGGCTTTGGTAAAGTTTTCATCAGAATAGTTAACAATGTAGTATTTAGTGGATGCCATGGTTTAGAATTGCGAGTAATTGTAGCAGCATGGAATTTTTATATGTAGTTAGAGACTTGCCGAACTTAGTTGGTTAGCTGTGCACGGGTAAAAAATATTGTCTGCATGTTTAGTGCATAATATAAGATAAGACATGATAGTATAAGACTTGATAGTATAAGATTTAATTAAATTTAAATACTATCCAGAGTTTGGTATGATATTGTATAAGATAATATCCTCCAATATTTTAAAAATTAATATATTAAAAAAATATATTTTAATATATAAATATTGAAATGATATATTAGTTATTGGGAATTGTACTTGTAATCAATATTAATACATCAACCTTTTATCAGCCCTAATCTACCACTCCTAGGCCGGATTAAGTTATACATTATTTTGATGTATAAAGGGATCATGCTGTATAAGCTTATACTATATGATGGTCACACTAAACAACTGAAAATGTCATAACGTATAGTATAAACTTATACTATCAGGCCTTATACATCACACCAAACAAGCCCTAAGTGTGGGTAGTTAGATACTGACGGGTAAATAATAAAGTGAGGGTTATATAAGTAGAATGATATATTATTTTGGGATTTAGAATTTAAATGTTATATCAAATTTATTTATTATACTTAAAATAATTTGATGATGGTAGTTCTCTTCTACTATTAGTTCCTAAGGGCCATTGGAGTGCGTCATAAATTGAGAGCTGCATAGAACTCACACACATTTATAAGTGCTAATTTGAGTTGGCATAATACAAAACAAATTCACGATTCACTCTTTTGACGGGTTGACACGACACAACATGAATAACTTATAAAAATATTAACACGATTAGTTTCATATGTGCGAATTAACACACGACACGATACAAA